ACCAACCCGGTTCACTGTAAGATAATAACCTGGTTTATTCTATAATACTTATAGCAGGTGCTTTAGTGTGGGCCTTTTAACACAATGCCATAGAATGGAGAATTAAACAACAAACATTTATTTCTCAAAGTTCTATAAATTAAAAGTCCAAAATCAGAGTATCTGCGTGATCAAATTATGGTAGGACACTTTTCCTGATTTACATCAGTCACTTTCCAGCTTTTCATAGGCGGAGAGATTGCCAGGAATTAAAATCTTCCACTCTTAAATATGTCTTTTTGGTGAGGGTTTGATTTGATGGGAGAGGTTCTGAGTTTGGGGGGAGACTGTTTTTGAAAAAGATATTTACATGTGAACTTCTCTGTAGACTTTTTCCTAGAAGTCCTATTTTCCTTATGCTTTTTCCATGGAGAAGACAGAACTAAACCCACAAAAGGTTGTTTAATGGGTGTCTTCCCTTTCATTCTCACCTGCTACCCTACATATCCCCCCATCTATTTAAAATGTTTCTGACGCAATTTGAGCTAGTTACTTAGTTATGATGGGTCTCTCCCATGTTTACAGGAGGTTACATGTTGTTATTAAAACTTCTTTTTTACTTTTTCTCTTATAATCTTTCAGATACGTGTTTGATTATTTGTCAGCCTAGGAGAATCCAAAGAGACACTAGATTTCCATGCACTAATACCATTCATGAAGGCTCCACCCTCAAGACCTAATTACCTCCTAAAGACTCCACTTGCAAATACCATCACATTGGGGATTATGGTTTCAATGTAAGAATTTTGGGTATGCAGTCCACAGCAGCAGGTTAACAACTAATTGGTCACTTTCCAAGTACACATCTGCACAAGGCAATATACTTTGCTTATATTAACTCTGACCAAAAGCATAAGAGAAATAGGTGTAATTATTATCTCCTTTTCACAAAGAAGAACATAAAGTTTTAGTGTTACAGAATGCATCTCCATAAAAGGGGAGGATGAAATTAAATGGCACCATTTCCCCTCCTTGTTAATATTTCTAAAGGGTTTATAATTACCAAATTCTCCTTTATCTTTAGTTATAACTGAGTGAAATCAGTAAGAAAGGAAAAAAGATACTACAGATTCAAAAATAGCATCTGCTTCTCAGTTTCTGAGATCATCCAATCACAAGCAAACTTGTGCCAACCTCTAAGTCACTGCCCAGTGTGGGCAGTTTGAGCCTGACTCCCTGGCCCATATCTCAATACACCCTGACAGAAGAGAAGATAAAGAGAGTGTTAAACTTGAACACTGGTGTTGGGATGAAGGAGGAATCTCAAGAAATTGTGTTTTCTCAACCCAAATGGCCAAAATAGACAAAGGGATCAAAAAGTTGTGGTAGATTTCTACAATGGAATATAGCTGAGCGATCAAAAAAGACAAACGATGCCATTTGCAGCAATATGGATAGACCTGGAAGGGACTATGCTAGCTGAAATTAGTCAGAAAGCAAAAGATAAATACAGGATGGTCTCACTTATGTGTGGAATATAGAGAAACCAAACAAATGGTAAAAAAAAAAAAGTCAAAACTAGCAAGCTGGTCATGGAACTGAGGCATACAGCAAATGAAAAGGGAGAGAGAAAAGTAAAACAAGGGAGGGATGAACAGAAGGGAATATGGTGATGGTTTATGGGTGATATGATGGCAGGAAAATCATGGGGACTACAACTATGTAAGAATATAATTAATTAATTAAAATAATAATAATAAAGTATGTTTTCTCCCAGCACACCTGCTATAACCTGCTATAGAAAGAACAAATTTCTGACAAATAGGGGTATTTCCTCCCTAGGGTCAGATGGTCTCCTTACATAAAAAAAAAAAAAAATGACCATTTATAAGAAGCTCCCAGCCCACAATCAATAAAATGAGAGAAACTTGGTTGCCCACATTCAGTTATCCCAATGGGTTTTGAGTCTACTTGAAAGAAAATTTTGTAAAATGACTGCACATAGTTTATAGAGAGATGGAAAAATAAAGAACCACCAAATTCACCAGTCTGATGTCTCCAGTCAAAACACACAGCACAGTTGCAACCCCGGTATGTCTGATGCTGTCCTGTATTGTTTCAAAAATCACAGGCAGCAAATGGCAAAGGGTCACTCCCCAGCCAGCAGGGAAAATACAGGGAAATTCAGAGTCTGTGCTAAGGAGTAAATGTTTTGTCTTTGTTTCCAACCAAAATAGATCAGGATTGTAGAGACACAGCCTTACAAACCCTGAGAAAGAATGTAACCTCTGAGGAAAAGAAAATAACCAATCCTCACTGCTTCCAGTTGGTTGTGAAACATTGAAATACTCTCAAAGTTTATCTGCCCTACAAATAACTGAGGAACCTCTTCCCCAGAGATGTGGGAATACCAACACCTGTGCAGAATAAGGGAAAACAGCACTGGGCTGCCCTTGACAACAGGACATACTAAACTCCCTAGTGCCAAGTCCACCAGAAGAAAGTTTCCAGGGAGAGGCTACCCCCTCTCCACAGCCCAGAAGAGCCATGGGTTCCAGGCAAAAGCTGAACCCAGCAAAAAGTAGATTCAATCACAGACACCAAAGTATAGGCCAAATCACATTAATCAAGCTTGTGTGAAAAATCTTTCTTTGCTGTCAATTTAATTGTGGTAATAAACACATAATGTAAAATTTATGATCTTAACCATTTATAAGTGTGCAGTTTATTACTGTTGAGTATATTCCTAAATATATAGTTGTTCTGGTGGCACATAGGCTATGGAGCTCAATTTGTAATGGTTTGGTGTAGGAGGGGTACAAAGGGGAGAAAGAGAGAGAGGGAGAGGCAGAGAGGGAAAGGGAGACTGACTTGACAATATGACGTTTGTTTTCCAAGAGAAAGGAAAAAAGGCTCAATTCCATCATCCAGAAACATCTCACTATCCCTCTCTATTTCAAAATTAAAAGTCCTGCTCACTGTATAGTCCAGGTTCTGGAACAGGACTTAGGACAAAGCTGGCACTAGCAGAGTGATAGGTCATGAATAGAAAAGGACAATGGTGCGAAAAACGCTAGATACATGATCTTGATTAATCCAACTCATCTGAACATAATTTTTAAGAAAGCATCAATACCTATGGACATGGAAAGATCTGCAGGAACTACTTTTAAAGAAATTAGGTTGCATATCAACATACACAGTGTGATTTCCATTAGGTAAAAATAAATACAAAACAATGATTACATCTGTATATAATACTACACTTAAGTAATATCCTCTAAATCCACTATTTTGATCACCTCTCACTTTGAAGGCGCTGGGGATAAGAGAACAGGAACGGTCTGTTCGAATTTCTGTTTGTAGTGTTTTAATTATTTACCACAAAAAAATATTTTTGTATTTTTAGTGAAATTTTTTAATTGAAAAACCCCTCTGAAAAGAAATTTTGTTATAAGACAGGGATGATTTAATATACCTCAAAAGTACCCTTTCATAGAAAGCTACTGGAAAATGTACCCCATCAAAATGATGGGCAAAAAGTAAGAAAGATATGAGAAGGGGAAGGCAGAAGTAAAGGAAACAGGACCCAGCATAACAGAGATGCTAAAGGAATCACCCGGATAATGGCAAAAGAAGCCCCCCAAACAGCCTTGAATCAAACACCTCGGGTAACCTGTCCGGTCAGGCAAAGCAGGTCAGAAAACCCGAAATCAAGAAGAGAAAATTAATTCAAATAGTGAACACAATGGAACATCTTAAGAAAAGAGGTAGGCAACTGGCAACGAATTTGTAATTAACTAATGCGAGCGCCCTAGAACCCCCTGCTAACACAGAGAAAGACAATTCCAGGCGAGGACAAAAGTTAAAAAGGGAATGTAATCACATACTATATAACTCCCTCCTACTACTGCGTCGGTAGCAAAAGACCCTTGGAACAAGCTAAAAATGTCAAATAACCGTATTCCTAGGATGGATGGAAGGTACACGGAGGATGCTAAGTGGTAGGCGCAGGGCAACGAGAGCTAAGTGTTCACGCCGCGGGCTGGAAAATCCACACAAGGGGAAGATCCCTGACACCTCCAGGGTGATCTGGCTCCCCAGAAAGTGCTCTTCACGACCAGGGTGCGCCGATACGAACTCACCTTTCCCAAGCCTCCTGCACTAAGCGCGCATTGCAGTGCGCTCCAAAATGGCATTCACGCCGCGTGTGCGCGTCAGACCAGACAAAATAGCTCAAGGACAGCCGCTTTGACGTTTGGCCGCCATACAGGAGAGCACGCGGCACGCCCGGGACTCCCCTCCACGGCACCCCAAGCTCACACCTTCCCCCCGCGTCCGGCGCTGCCGAGGCGCCCTCCCTCTCCAAGCCCCCGGGACGGCCGGGGCTCGGGCGCCGGTGATGGGGGCAGCCAGGCGCGGCCCCGGGGCGGCGTTTACTTTGACCTGCACTTTCATGGCTCCGGGACTCCGGCGCGGGGCGCGCGGGGACGCCAGCGGCGCAGACGGCGGCCAGGCAGCTTCTCCCGCCGCCTCCGGGATGTGCGGCACCCGGCTCCTCCGGATCCCCGCCAGCCAGACGCGTCCCGGGCGGCTCCCAGGCGCGCCTCCTCTTCTCGGCTGCCGGCTCTCGCCAGCTCGGGGCTACTCTGCAGCCCGCCGCGAACGGGAGCGCAACCTGAACGCGCCTCCTCTCCCCGGGTCCCCACCGTCCAGAGCTAAGCCCGCGGCCCCGTTAGGTGTCCGCTCCGACACCACCTCCGCGCTGGCCGCCTTCCAGCTCCGCGATGGGGGCTGTGGACCTGCCCTTTAGTAGTCGTCCTACGTTAGACGAAACCTCTGGGCAGTCCGCCTGGGGTCAGATCAAAGCACCTGGAGCAGGTATTTCGCAAAGCCTAGGTATTCGAGATCCAGGTAGATCCCAGCGCGGCGGGCCCCACCCACCCCTTCCGGGCTCGGGCTCAGCTTGGGTAATTCGCGTCAGGGGTCTTGGCTCGGCGGCAGCGAGACGCGCAGCCTACCTGTGAGCGCTGCGCGCCAGGGCGGGCTTTCATCGTTGGTGTGTGCTGCTACCAAAGCCTGATGTGAGCTTCTGACTTGTGGAATGAGATCTGGGCCCCACCTCCACACGCAGCCTTTTCGGCCGTGTCGGTTTGTCCTGATTCCTTTTGGCCTCAGTTATCTCTTGTATTTAAAGGTGATTCCGACCTTACCTAGGGCAAAGGAGTGTAGTGAGGGGAAATGGACTGTTCCCCACGTCGCAGACCTATTTTACTAGATTGTGTAGGTTCTATTGAAAGGTCACAGGAGATGAAACCCAACAGTTTTTACTATTTAGGAGGTGCTGGGCTTGTCAAATGACCCTTCTGGGCCTGAGTTTACTTGTCTGGGTGTGGGAATGGTAGTTAAATAAACCCACCTCCCTCATTGGCTGGACTGAACAAGCAAAATTACTTAATGTGCTTTCTGTGCAGAAGTACCGTGCAAATGTAACTTATTTTTGTGAATTCCTCTGGCTAGGCAGTCTTTTTTAATTTTTTGTAAAGATTTATTTATTTATGCATCTAAGAATTGGGGTACAGGCCAGAGGTGCGGGCGTGTGTGTGTGTGTGTGTGTGTGTGTGTGTGTGAGAGAGAGAGAGAGAGAGAGAGAGAGAGAGAGAGGATTTACCAGAGACAGAGTGGGGAGCAGAACAGGCAGATCTGCTGGCCATGTGGGTTAGGCCCCTGGCTGGCAGGCAGTAGTTTGATGGCGCTGTGTCTTTAGCCCCTGCGCCACCTGGGAAGCTGCTGTCAGTCATATAGGTGGATCTCAGGGTGTTGACAGAGGTGACATGAAGCACGCGACAAAGTGCTGCTCACTTATTACAAGTGTTATAATTAACAATGCTAACCATTCATCCCTGAAAATTGAGGGCATCTATCCATTTAGTGCACTCTGTATTTCTGCACAGTGAGTTCATATTGGTAGATACAGTTAACATTTTTTTCCAGTCTCATGTGGTTTTAATGACTATTTCTTTGTTTTTTTAGAAAATTTGAACATCTCCTATATGTAATTAATATTTTGTTTTGCTGTTAACACATTTAATCTTTCTTCTCTCTGACCCATCTCCTACTAAAGGTTAACAATGTGTAAATAATTAACAAGTTCAAAATCCCCTGTAAGGGAAATACCTCTTGATTGATGGTCTGCCAAATAGCTCGTCTGTTAGGTCTTGCAGGCCCATTGAAAACACTAGACATTTGGAAATTTGGAACCCAAGAGTCTTAGTGCACCCTACCTGTCATTTAGTTTAATCTCTGGTAAATTTACCTGTTAGGATGGTCATATAGTCTTTTCAAATCGCACTTAAAGGCACATAGAGTTTAAAATGCCTGGGAAATTCCAGGGCTTAAGGCATCTGATGTGCTAGTTTACAAACAGCCTTTGGTTCAAGCACTTGAGATGTTTGTTGAAAGTGCAGATTCCCAGGCCCCACCCAGATCTCTTGTGTCAGAATTTCTAAGGTGGGGCCCAGGAATCAGTATCTTTCACAATCACCTCAATCAACTGAAGGGTTTTTCTATAAAAGTCTTCTGCCCACAAATATACCTATGCCCAGAGGCTAGCTATGAAATTTAAATTTTCAAATGTTTATTAGAAGACTAGCGTGTTTTTGTTTCAAGCCAACAAATATTTCCTGAACACAGACTATTTGTCAGGCATCCTGCTGGGTGCTGGGAAACAAAGATGAATAAGACATTGTCCAGTCTACAAGGAGTTCAGCTTTGTAGGAGGAGGAACAATCAAAAATGAAACAGTACCTGGGCTACCATTGGTAACACAAAAATAAACAGGGTTTTGTTTTCTCAGTCTGTTGCCCTCCCTAATCCCTTTCTTCATCTTCTCATTCTTTTCCTTGTATGTTTTCCTTGTCAGACCTCCCTTTTTATCCTATCCTAGACTTTGTAAATGTTTTATTATTCACCTAACATGCTCCAACTTTTAACCACAATGTAATTATTTCAAAATGAAGGGGAATACTGAGTCTTCAGCAGAGAAAAGTGAGTACAACATTATTTTTAATGTGTGAAAATCTTATTAAGACCCAGTTATTGGAGGCCACCATGGGGTGGTTTCTAATAACCGCCATTATCAGGGATGCCTCAAACCATACACTGGATCATATATAAGCTGTTTTTCGCCTATACACCCATATTTATCATATATTTTAATTTCTAAATTAGGCATAGTAAGAGATTAACAATAACAATAATAGTATACTATAATAAAAATTAGGTGAATGGGGCATCTCTCTTCTCTCACTCAAAATATCTTACTCTAAGCAATATTTTTGGGCTGCAGTCAATCACAGGTAACTGAAAGGGTAGAAACTGAACCTGTGGATAAGGGGGGACTACTGTGCATATGCTCTTCTCCTGGAGAAAACTACTGCAAGCTTGGATTTGATTTCTTTTGCTTTATTTGGCCTGGAGTGGAGATTGTTGGGGGGTTTTGCAAGGTAATACTTTGCAGCCTCTTTAAACAGCCCAATGAAAAAATGAGAAATAAGTATCTTTCTTTTCTTGTCTTTCTTCTTTTCTTTTCTTTTTCTCTTTCTTTCTTGCATCAAGAAGCAGCAAGGACATAGGAAACTTCTTTTCCAATCCATCATGACATATCATGATAGCTTGTGATATATTATCTCTGGTTTGTGGCCTTCACTTTGGGTCGCTCCCACTTTCCTTTCAGAAACATAAAGGAAATAAAACAAATGTGGTGGTAATTCTGAAAGGAATAATGGAAACTGTAAGGGAAGTTTAAAGGTATGGGTTATTAATTTAAGAAGTCAGTTAAAGGTATACTGTCAGTGATGAGGGATGAAATTCAGCTTTCCCATCTATTCCTGTAAAACCTTCTGTTTTCATACCATCCTATTCAAATCCAATGTGTTGAATATTAATTCCATTCATTTATTCTTCTTAAGTACAAAGGAAAATTACAAATTAATTTTCCTTTTGAAATGAAGCAATATCTTTTCTTCTGCTTTCTATTTTTTTTTTTTTTTAAGATTTATTTATTATGCTGCAGAGGCTGTGGACAGCTTCACAGGCTGCGTCTTAACCCTTGCACCACCAGGGAGGCCCTCTTCTGGTTTTTAAATAAATTTCTTTCAATGGGATAAATAATCTATTTCATAGCAAATAAAAAAATCAAATATTGAAAAAGCATATTTGTGGGTTGGAATATTCACAGGAAGTTCTAGAGAAATATATGCCAACTCTTAACAAAAGAAGTCATGCTAACAAATTATTCACTGCTTATCTGAAATTCAAATTTAATTTGAACATCCTTATCATGCAAGATTGTTAGATGAGCCTACATTGGTAGCTTCAGGCATCTGGGGGTGCTCTTTGAAAATGTGCATTTCACAAATGGCCAACAGGCATATGAAAAAATGTTCAACATCACTTGTCATCAGGGAAATGCAAATCAAAACTACCATGAGATACCATCTTACACCAGTGAGAATGGCACATATTAAAAAAACTAGCAACAACAAATGTTGGCGAGGGTGTGGAGAAAAAGGAACTCTCCTGCACTGTTGGTGGGAGTGCAAACTGGTCCAACCACTGTGGAGAGCTGTGTGGAGATTTCTGGACCTACTAAACATAGAGCTTCCATATGATCCAGCAATTCCACTCCTAGGTATTTACCCAAAGGACACAGAAACATCCATTCCAAAGAGCACCTGCACCCCTATGTTTATAGCAGCACTGTTTACAATAGCTAAGCTTTGGAAACAACCCAAATGCCCAAAAATAGATGACTGGATCAAGAAGATGTGGTACATATATACCATGGAATATTACTCAGCATTCAAAAAAGATAAACACATGCAATTTGCAGCAACATGGATGGCGCTGGAAGGGATCATGCTCAGCGAAATAAGCCAAAAAGAAAAAGAAAAATACCGGATGGTCTCACTCATAGCAGGAATCTAGAAAACTTAAATAAGGGACCAGGAAAATGAATATAAGAAAGTGAAAATCAAAATCAACAAAAAACTATGAACCAGAGACACTTTTTGGGGGGTGGGGGGCGGGAGGGGAAGGATTGGGGTCAGAATGGGGCGTTTGCAATTGTATGGGGAATATAAAAATAAAATTTATTATAAAAAAAAAAAGAAAGAAAATGTGCATTTCAAACAGTGACATCAAACCTATGTTCCTGTAGAACTTGTACGTTCACATTCTATGTTGAATGATTCATGAAGAGGAAATGGGGAGTTTTTAAAATTGGTTGAGTGTTTCTAACAAAGGGCTGTGTAGTCTTATAGACACTGTCTTCCTCAAGTTCTTTAAAACAAACACTACAGTTATACTGTAGCTTTTTTAATGACCACAAACTCCATTATCCCTGTAGCCTACCATCTTGCAACCATGACTTTGCAACAACCCTCCTATGCAGCCCTCCTATGCTTCAGTCTCTTCCTTACAACCTCAAATCTGAGATAGACTTAATGGCCAATAAATGTGGCCAAAGTGACACGGTTTAAGTTCCTGAACTTAGGTCTGAAGTGGTCCTGCAGCTTCAGCCTTCAACTTGTTCAGCAAGCCGTCCTTTTATGGAACACTTTACTAAGTACCAGTTATACATTAACTGAGTTTCCAAAAAGTCAAAACTTGTCCAAGATCATAGACTGCGAAAGTGGCAGAGCTGGAATTACAAACACAGTTTGACTCCAAGGCCCATGGTATGGTATATCCATCATATCAGAGTTCCTAGCTAAAAATCACCTCAGGGCCTCCCTGGTGGTGCAAGGGGTTAAGTCTCAGCACTATCAAGATATCGGCAGCTAGCCACTGCAGCACAAGTTTGATCCCTGGCCAGAGAGCTAATCCACATAGCATAGCAGACCTCTCCTGTTTCCCCTGTTGCTCCCCTCAGCAGTGTATTTCAGTAGATCCACCTGTTCTGCTCCCCACTCTGTCTCTGGTGAATCCTCTCAACCCCCTGCACTTCTGGCCTACACCTTTGGCCACATCTTGTGTGTATAAATAAATAAAATAAATATTTGTTTAAATAATAATAAAATAAAATCACCTCAACTTTCATTTGCTAGTAAGGTTTTATTTTGGTTTTCATTAAAATTTTTTCAAACATTACTTCAATGTGTTTATAAACACTGGGCAAAGACCCCTTTCTTCTTCACC